AATTATAAATAATAAATAAAAATAAAATAATAACAGTGCTACATCGAGTTGAAATGGCGCGTTACGTCACGCTTGAGTAAGATTTTTACTCAAAAGTGACGTCACGCGACATTTCAACTCAATATAATGCTGTAATTATTCGAGTTTGAAAAAAATTCAAAAATATGTGTCCAAATTTTTTTTATTATCTGTCTGATGGACTAAATAATTTCGATTTCATTACCCAGTCATCATCCCTATTGAAAACTGTTTTGCCGTTCAAATTATTTAGATTACTTCTCATCTTGATTACGCTTAAAAACTCATTCACATGAGCAAGCAATAAACAAAACGAAACCGGTGTAGATCCTTACCTAATAACTTTTCCAATCTCAGTAATATTAGGCATAAAATAAACCTCTCCCTAAACACTTCTCAGTATTCGCTTTGCATCCCCCTCAATAAATCCCGGACTACCGACATCCGTCAATACAACCCATCCATTCTTCACGACATATAAACAGACCATAAAAGTAAGTTTTGTATTGACCATAAAAGGCTTTTTATGGTATCCCGGCGACGCGTCCACAAACGAAAAGCATGATTCTAGAGTAGGTTAAACTACTTAAAACAAAGTACAGAAAAATCATAATATGATAAGGCTGAAATTCATTGTTAACGTGTGCATGGTAATACAGGGCCGTAGTATGAATAAAAACAGCGGCACGTACTTACAGCTCTCATTCCTTGCAAGTTTCATTATTTTAGCATAAACATGCTGCGTCAAAATAACAAGTGAACTAAAATCCATAAAAAATGTGAACAACGCCTGAGTCCTTCGATAATTAAATATTCTTAAAACCGCGATAAGACGAAGCTTCTGTGGCAGCGAAACATGTCCAAAAAAACTACATCACAGATTGAAAGAAAAAATAATGTATTAAAAATTACAACAAGGGGCTACAATGGAAATCTTCATTACAAGAGTTAATAAGGTTTAGATTTGCTTAAAAAATATCGCTTCACTTGAAATTCCTTTAAACTTTACCAGGGAATTTGTGCCCGCTATCTCGCAAAACCTTATTGAGCCAATTTGTCCGGTACGTGGGTCGTGGGCCAGGAATAGCCATCACAGGAAAGGGAATACACGTGACCTGATGAAATAGGTAGATCCCGAAGGATCCCTGATAAAATCTCTCTGTGACATGCCGACTGCTAACATAAAGCGTAGTGGCTTAGGTTACTGACGAGGCTGCGAATAGGAACAGACAGGAAATAAATTAAAACCTACAGTTACGTCGGGATTTGAGCAATTTTTCAAAACCAATAAAATAAATAGTTACCCTCTCGGTAGTCTCTTATTTTCCAATCAGTTCTTTTTACTTTTACTTTTTTTTACTAATAAAAATAACACGCTCGTTAAACTTAATTTGGTAGTTCGTTTCAGCCAAATGATGTCCACTGCTGGACAAAACCTCCTCCAAGGTTTTCCACAATGATCGGTTCTGCGCTGCCCGCGATCTTTACCAGATCGTCGGTCTACCTAGTAGAAAGCCAGCCCACGCTACGTCTTCCAGCCCGTGGTCACCACTCGAGAACTTTTCTGCCTTTAGCTCGTAGAGACGATTTAGGTAGTAAGGAAGTGTAATTTTAAAACTTTTTATTAGTAAAGGAGTTTAAAGTTTATGTTTAAAATACATAAATCCTAGCAATAATACCAATTACAATCCTAAATATTATTGCAAATCTGTCTAACTATTTATAATTCTTGATTATACAACTAAATAAAGTTTTCACAGACTCACAAAGTCATATCCCTGCTCTGTGTAGTACAATAAAACTGAGATATTCAAATAAAAGAAAAACTCCAACCTCTCAAACTTAATATAAACGAAACATGCACGTCTACTACGGCAAAGGATCGCATGTCTTCCGTGCCGAGTTTAGACATACAGGAATTGAAAGCCTGTGTCTGACATACTATATCAGAAAACGTCGTAATCTGATCGAACTGCTGATTGCTTCCGCGAACTGGAAACGAGAGAGGTTGTATTTCTAACAATTTTAACAGCAATTTAAGTAGAAGCGGTTATATTGATTTGAAAGGGGATGTTTACGTAATTTGAGACGTAATGTATCGACATATGAAGCCAATAACTTAACAATTATTAATATCATTTCAGCCTCATCATCACTTCATCATCATTTCAGCCACAGGACGTCTACTGCTGAACATAGGCCTCCTCCAATGATTTCCATATCACCTTCTTGGTAAGTAGCGGCCTGCATCCAGTGCCTTCCTGCTATCTTTATGAGGTCGTCGGTCCACCTTGTTGGTGGACGTCTCACGATTCATTTTCCGATACGTGACCTCTACTCATCTACCTTGCTGCCACATAATAATAAGCTTGCTGCATAATAAGCTTAACCCCCTTAGATAAGATAAGATAAGATAAGGCAACTCAGCCTAAGCCTATAGAATCAATGCTTTGTTTTCTTAATATCATTGTTTAACTAATCTATCACATAATTTTATGGCAAAGCTGACAAAAGCTATGTAAGTGGTCAAAGAAAACACTATCTAGGAAATATAAGTCCTGATTACCAACTTTCACATTTATGATGGCCGACCCACATCCCTCGAGAAATATGTGTTTTCCGGGAATGAAAAGCAAAAGCAATGCGTAAAGGTCATATGATGTCACAAGTAGCACTAGCATCATCATATAAAGTACCGGAGGTCCCATTCCTACTCGGGAACCAAAACCTCAGAGGGTCTAAAGCTTTTCCAACATTTTTAGGTTGGGTTGTAATAATTTCCGTTGATATTAAAATTATCACGATCATTTCTAATCACGTTTTTTTATTTTTAAAAATTTCTGTCTTTTTTCTAGATTCAACCCTGAATACCTGTGAGCCCGAGAGTCCTGAAATATTTCAGACAGCCTTGGCCACAAGCGCTTAATATAGATTTCTTATAAAGAGATACCTACAGCGAAATTGGCACTTCAAATCACCGCTCCTTTGAAACGCTTTTTGGCAGCCCGCGGCCAAATTGCAAAAGATTAACCTACTTCTTTTTAGTTCGAGCGAAAAATGGTTTAATTGATGACTAGGGACTTCCTTTATTCGTGATCACGAATCACTAAGATTAAAGCTGTCACGTAGCCCGAAAGTGTTGAAGATTTAGAGGGACAACCCACAGAGTTACAGAACTCATTTGCATTATAACACTGTAACTTGAGCTGATGTAAAAACTTTACGATCTCGAGGCAACTAAGTGAATTTATGGTGGGCAATATCTTTGAGTTAAATGCAGTTATGGCTGTGGATTTTCCCGCCGGATTTTATATTCTGTGGTCATACTTTGTAAATAGTACACTCGCACTATGTCATCATTGTGCATAACATAACGTGTTGGAATAATGTTGCATGGATTTTCGTAACAAAATATGTTCTAAGTTTTGTAATCAAAATTGTTGAAGTTTTGATATTAAGTGTAAAGGAAAATGTTTTCCTTTTAGTTACAAAGGAAGTGAGAATTATGGTACCATCAGTGTGAAGGACAGATTCCTATCAAAACAGATAATATTCTTTCTAAGACAATTTTCCAGGAAAAAATATATTTCTTCGTATTTTAATTTGTGTAACTACTTTTTTAGACTCATTGCTGCAAATAAATACAAAATACTCGTAGTTAATGAAGTGTTCTATTTCTACCTACATAAGTATTATTACCGCTCAAAACTCAAAAACCTTGAAATATTGCTCATCGTGACAGTTTTTCCTGATGCTAACAAAAGGTGATTCTCCATAATCTATGCTATGCTCAGCTTATTTCAGCTTTTACTGTTCTTATTTCANACACACTTACTGACCCTCAACACTAGTCCAACACTACCTCAACACTAGTCCAACACTACCTCAACACTAGTCCAACACACTTCCCGACCCTCAACACTAGTCCAACACTACTTATCGAACTTCAACACTAGCCCAACACTAATCCAACACACTTACTGACCCTCAACACTAGTCCAACACACTTACCGACCCTCAACACTAGTCCAACACTAGTTACTGACCCTCAACACTATCCCAACACTAGTCCAACACACTTACCGACCCTCAACACTAGTCCGACCCTACTAAGTGACCCCCATCACTAGTCCAGCACTACTAAGTGACCCCAACACTAGTCCAACCCTACTAAGTGACCCCAATCACTACTAAGTGACCCCCAAACACTAGTCCAACCCTACTAAGTGACCCTCAACACTAGTCCAACACACTTATCGACCCTCAACACTAGTCCAACACTACCAAGTGACCCCAACACTAGTCCAACCCTACAGCGCGAGCCCACCACTAGTCCGCACTACTTGGCGAGCCCAACACTAGCCCAGCACTACTCACGCTCAGGAAGGCGTGTATGAGGTCCGCCTTGACGGTGGCGAGCGGCTTGCCCTTCACCAGCGCCGTGAAGGTCTCCTCCTTGTCGGCCGACAGCAGCAGGGAGCCGAACCAGGAGCGCTTGGTCAGCTCCGGAGACGATTCCGGGGTGAGGTGGACTATCCAGCGCCCCGACACTAGTTACTGACCCTCAACACTAGCCCAACACTAGTCCAACACACTTACTGACCCTCAACACTAGTCCAACACACTTACCGACCCTCAACACTAGTCCAACACTAGTTACTGACCCTCAACACTATCCCAACACTAGTCCAACACACTTACCGACCCTCAACACTAGTCCGACCCTACTAAGTGACCCCCATCACTAGTCCAGCACTACTAAGTGACCCCAACACTAGTCCAACCCTACTAAGTGACCCCAATCACTACTAAGTGACCCCCAAACACTAGTCCAACCCTACTAAGCGACCCCCAACCCTACTAAGCGACCCCCATCACTACCAAGTGACCCCAACACTAGTCCAACCCTACTAAGTGACCCCCATCACTACTAAGTGACCCCCATCACTACTAAGTGACCCCCATCACTACTAAGTGACCCCCAACACTAGTCCAACCCTACAGCGCGAGCCCACCACTAGTCCGCACTACTTGGCGAGCCCAACACTAGCCCAGCACTACTCACGCTCAGGAAGGCGTGTATGAGGTCCGCCTTGACGGTGGCGAGCGGCTTGCCCTTCACCAGCGCCGTGAAGGTCTCCTCCTTGTCGGCCGACAGCAGCAGGGAGCCGAACCAGGAGCGCTTGGTCAGCTCCGGAGACGATTCCGGGGTGAGGTGGACTTCTTCGGAGGACGCTGGAAGAAAGAAATAGAATATTTAGTGAAAGAAGAATAGATAAGACCAGAGTAAATACAAATGAGTAGGTCATCTTCATAGAAACGCAACGAGAGAGGTTTGTATGTGAGCCTGAGCGCGCCAATACGTATGCGGCGCGCACGCACACACTGACAAAATTTAGCGTTGATTAGCGTCGTGTTGCGGCGAATTTTGTCCGAATTTTCAACCGACTTCAAAAAAGGAGGAGGTTCTCAATTCGACTCGTATGTTTTTTTTTTTTTTCTATGTTTGTTACGCGATAACTCCGCCAATTATGAACCGATTTGAACAAATCTTTTTTCGGCGTATAGGTAATACCTCAAGGGTGGTCCCATTTAAATTTAATAATAGAAAACACAACCCCCAAGGGTGGAAAATTGGTGTTGAACTTTTTTATACGCAATATCTCCGCCGATAATAAATCAATTTGAACGATTATTTTTTTGTTGAATAGGTATTATCAAAAGGGTGGTTTCATGCGAATTTGAAGAAAATATTTCACCCCCAAGGGTGGAAAATTGGGGTTGAACTTTTTTATACGCAATATTTTTAATTTTTAGTTTTTTTTTGTGTTCACGCATTTGAAGTCGGTTTTATTTTTTTTTTAAAGTTAATTATGTTTATACAAACCGCGCTCGGTGCGTTTCTATGAAGATGACCTACTCATTTTGTATTTACACTGATAAGACACATAAACAAAAAAAATACACAAGAGAGATGGTTCAATTTAGGCAGTCTTATTGCTATCAAGCAACTTTAGTTCATCATCATCATTATTTCAAGGACTCGTGCCTGTTTTCACCATCAATTCCAAATTTTTAAGTGACCCCTATGTTTTGTTTTAAAAGGGGTCACTAAAACATTATGGATTGATGGTGAAAACGGGCATTAGTAAAGTAAGTATAAATTACGCCTGTATTCACAATGAGGACTCACAATGCGCGTGGACGCACAAGGTGACATACGAACCAATCACAGAGCTCCATTCAACGCTCTGCGTTCGATTTGCTGCTTCACTTAAGCAGGCATCGTTTGTGAATATGGGCGTAAGACACATAATCAAGAAAAGAAAGAAATACACAAAAGAGACGCAGCTATAGTCTGATCTGTGAACACGTAGAATTTAGTCCAATGACCCCAAGTTACCCATCCTTATCGCTCGCGCGTAATTATGTTGCTATCGCGCTCGCAAACTCACTGCGGGCGCCCGTCGCACAGTCGCGACAGCAATATAATTACGCGCGAGCGATAACGATGGGTAGCTAGGGGTCATTGGACAAAATTCTACATGCTCACAGACCGGGCTTTAGAACACTTATCAACCCGGAAAGGGATCGTGACCGTATCAACTCGATGCGGTCAGTATTCTTTGCATGAGACTCCATACTTCAGGACGATCGTGATAAACGATACGGTGTTGTTCCTGAGTTGATAAGTCCGCTGTAATCTTAAGGCGGTCTTATCGCTGTGAAGCGGTCTCTTGCAAGCAACTTCAGTTCATCATTATCATTATTTCAGCGACTCAGCCACAGGACGTCCACTGCTGAACGTAGGCCTCCCCCAATGATTGCCAGATTGACCGGCCCGTATCCAACGCCTTCCTGCAACTTTTATGAGGTCGTTTGACCTTGTGGGTAGACGTCCCACGCTACGCTTTTCAGTACCATAGTTTTCAGTAGGATGATGATGATAATTGACTCACCCTGCATTTTCCTGCTATAGAACCTTGGCGACCCTAAGGAGTTCTTTATGGTGGTCATGCGAATATCCCAACCCGTCTGGCCAGCGTGGGGAGTGTAGGCCAAATCCTCCATTTGCCTCTGGTCAATTAGAGGGTCGTGCTCCTGCAGTGGAGACTGAATGTTCTGACATAGACTTCCCGGTCGGTAGCGGCCTGCGTCAAGCGTCTTCCTGCAACCTTTATGAGGTCGTCTGTCCACCTTGTTTTTGGACGTCGCACGCTGCGCTTTCCAGCACCTGGCCTCCTGCCTCCTTAACTGACCTGATGATGATGATGATGACTCACCTTGCATTTTCCTCCTATAGAACCTTGGCGACCCTAAGGAGTTCTTTATGGAGGGGAATGTAGGCCAAATCCACCATTTGCCTCTGGTAAATTAGAAGGTTGTGCTCCACCTTCTGGTAAATTAGAGGGTCGTGCTCCTGCAGTGGAGACTAAATGACCTGATGATGATGACTCACTCTACATTTTCCTGGTATGGAACCGTGGCGATCCGAGGAAGGAGATAAAGATGACTCACCCTGCATTTTCCTCCTGTGGAACCGTGGCGATCCGAGGAAGGAGATAAAGATGACTCACCCTGCATTTTCCTCCTGTGGAACCGTGGCGATCCGAGGAAGGAGATAAAGATGACTCACCCTGCATTTTCCTCCTATAGAACCTTGGCGACCCTAAGGAGTTCTTTATGGTGGTCATGCGAATATCCCAACCCGTCTGGCCAGCGTGGGGAGTGTAGGACAAATCCTCCATTTGCCTCTGGTCAATTAGAGATACTGCCCCTGCAGTGGAGACTGAATGTCCTGACATAGACTTCCCGGTCGGTAGCGGCCTGCGTCAAGCGTCTTCCTGCAACCTTTATGAGGTCGTCTGTCCACCTCGTTTTTGGACGTCCCACGCTGTGCTTTCCAGCACCTGGCTGAATGACCTGATGATGATGATGATGACTCACCTTGCATTTTCCTCCTATGGAACCGTGGCGATCCGAGGAAGGAATTTTTTATGATCATACGAACATTCCATCCCATTCCCAACCCGTCTGGCCAGCGTAGGGAGTTACTATTTGTCTTTAGTAAATTAGAGGGTCGTTATACTCCTGCAGTGGAGACTAAATGACCTGATGATGATGGAACATTGCTGTTTACTGTGTACTTAACTACTTACCCTGCATTTTCCTCCTGTGGAACCGTGGCGATCCGAGGAAGGAGTTTTTGATGGTGGCCAGTCGAACACGCCACGGCGCCGCCGCGCCCGCAGCCCCGCCGCCGGGCGGGACGCCTGTGAAAAGGGGGAATTTAGTAAGAGGGGACTATTGTGTCCGGCGATTCTTTTTGATACTTATTTATTTATTATTTTTAATATTATCTCTTTTTTTGAAGTCTCGTTTAAAGGACACAATATACGCTTTGGTTGGCTCTTAAAAATGTCTTGTCGTCAGTGAAGTTCTTACAGTGTGTAAGCCAAAAATGTGCATTTTACAGGAGATTGGTCGGAAAAAACACGCGGTCTTTCTTCATCCAATGGCATCAAAATGTTAAAACATTCAAAAAATGACTTACGCACTTTTACAACTAAACTGTCGTTTTGCTTTTTTCTAGCATAATAAATCACGAACAAGCCATAAACTACAGAAATACAGTCCACTAAAGCAGTCTTTATATTTTAGAACGTATTTATTTATTTTTAGAAACCAATTTGTAAAGACATGTTGTGACTTCATTTTTTCGACGGCTCGTAAAAAGTATGTTGTTGACGTACCGGTAAGGTGAACAACTAAATTTAAGACTATGTTGCACCTACATTTTGCAATAAAAATATTTAAAAAACACATTAAGGCAGTTTGAAATTTAAATAATATTTACCTGTGATAGTGCCCAAGTTAGGGAACAGAGTGGGCTGCGGCGGCGACTGTGTTGTCGGCGGGCCGGGGAGTGACGACCTCTCTCTCACTTTATATGGAATGGAAAGAGACAAAACATTATGTTAGCAATGACCTCTCTCTCACTTGATATGGGATGGAAAGAGAGAGCATTAAGGTAATTGACAGCCTTGCTATCCGTTTTAAGCTAAGCGAGTCTGAAAGCAATGACCTCTCTCTCACTTCATATAGGATAAAAAGAGATGGGGCAATATTGTAATTAAAAGTTTTGCTATTCGTTGGGCTGAGCGGGCCCGGGAGTAACGATTTCTCACTCACTTCATATGGAATGGAAAGAGCCAGCGCTCATTTGCCTGGTAAATTAGAGGGTCGTGCTCCTGCAGTGGAGACTAAATGACCTGTGGCCTAATTATGAATATTATAGTTATTTATTCGAATGATGACGAAAACAAATATTAGTAAAAACTAAGTGTATGATTAGTGATATTATGAATATCAATGATTATGTTTTTAAATATGTAGGTTTTAAATTTTTTATGAAGAATGATCATTGGTATCAAATTGTATGAGAAATATTTTCGGACCTCCAATGATAGGAATTGAAAAGTTATGTAAGAAAATGCGCTACCTATCATTGTACATAATAATTATACAAATAATAAATAATATCACATTAAAATTTGATGACATTAAAATGATGAAAACAAGAATATTTTACAATACACCCTGTATACTAAACTCAAGGTCTAAAAAATAATTACATCATTATTGTTAGGAATAAAATTAAAAAAAATAATTTCACAGTTAGATTATTTTATTTACATAACATTTAGTAAGTATTATTTATTACCTATGTCAATTTATTATAATAAACAGATAAAAAATATTTGGATTCCGTGGAGGGTAGTTGAACGGGAAGCATGGTCGATCTGTTTTAATGGTTTCAATTTATTATTTAATGGACTTTAGTGTACAAATTTGGTGTTATTTTGTGTTCTAAAGTGCAGTGAAGTGGTAAATTATAAAAAACATTGAAATACTTCGAATTTGAGCGCGCATCGAGTGTCGAGTGGGTTGTCGTATGAACAACCCGCTTTGGACCCGGTGGCGTCTTGAAACCTGCTTTCGGGCATACTTAACTCCACGGAATCCATGAGAAATCAATAGAACTAAAACACCCACGTTCTATTGATAACTATGTCAATTTTCACTCGACATTGGCAGAAATAAACCTCCCAGAGAGGTTTGGTTGCCATTAAAAAAAAAAAAAAAAAGTATTTTGACAGTCAAAATGTCGTTGACGTTTAGAAGTCATCCTATTGAAAAACAGTTTTAAATCTGTATTCACGTATCATTTCGATAGAACGATTATTCGATAGGATCGCAACTCAGCGATTTTTCATTTGACGTTTAATCACTTGAACCAAACTTCAAAATAGGTAATAGGTGAATACCGCGGAGGCGACGATTGAATACTTGTTGAATGTATAAAAACAAAATCGCAAAAAAATCGGGCAATTAACACGTGAATACGAAAAGTGACTCCAGCGACCAAATCACTTGCATGTCGTTGAAGTTTTGTTACGTGAATACGGCTACTGATGATTTACCTCTATGTGACTGCGATGGACTGTGCGGCCTGACTGCCACTGATGAGCCCATGATCGGAGACTCGTTTATGATGATCACAGCTTCGCCTGGTTCACCACCTGGAAAGGAAGAAGTTTTGTTGAAAAATCACACTTATCTATACTAATATTATAAAGCTGAAGAGTTTGTTTGTTTACTTGAACGCGCTAATCTTAGGAACTACCGGTCCGATTTGAAAAAATCTTTCAGTGTTAGATAGCCCATTTATTGAAGAAGGCTATTGTATACCATCACGCTACGAGTAATAGGTGCAGAGAAAAAACTAAAAATGTTGCGAAAATGGGTTTTCACGCGTACGAAGTCGCGGGCACAGCTAGTTCACTTAATAAGTTGTCAGAGTATTTACCTTGATGAGCTTTTGGTATAGAGTAAGATGAGAAGGACAGAGGCTTTTCTAAAAGATATACCTAGACATTAGAAATCTCGTGACGTCACTGGTCACGATAGAACAACACGCAGAGTCCCATATAGGCTGCTATGGACGCGTGAGACATTTAATGTCACGCTCAGCTTTTTCCAAACTTGCTTGTATCTTTTTTGTTTCCAGTCCGATTTCAAAACTTTCTTACAGAAATTCTAGAATTTAATTAAAGTATTTATTTATAAATCATTCATATTGCAAAAAATACGTACTTATATTGAGGCTGATGGTAGGCCCAGTGGAGTTAGCTCTCTGATGATGATGCTCTCTAACCGATGGTGATGCTGAAAATTAGACAATATTGTTCGGTTAAAAATACACAGCCGGCATAAGATTTTAATTATAATGTAAGGTACTAAAGCCCGGTCTGTGAGCACGTAGAATTTTGTCCAACGACCCCAAGCTATCCATCCTTATCGCTCGCGCGTAATTATATTGCTGTCGCGACTGTGCGACGGGCGCCCGCTGTGAGTGTGCGAGCGCGACTGCAACATAATTACGCGCGAGCGATAAGGATGGGTAGCTTGGGGTCATAGGACAAAATTCTACGTGCTCGGAGACCGGGCTTTAGCTTCTGTCTGTGTTTTTGTTCGCGGTAAAATTTGGACCGAAGTTTCGTCCCCTTAGGGGTTGAATTTTTGAAAATCCTTTCTTAGGGTATGCCTACGTCAAAATTCCTATCTACGTGACTTTCAGCGTAATTCAATGGTTTGGACTATGTTTTGATAGGTCAGTAAGACGTAATGGTTGCCTTTTAAACATATCTACTACAGATTCTATCTAAATCGGTCAAGTGGTTGAAGCGTTAAAAACTTAAGAGTAACAGTCAGTTTCAAATGACGTCCACTGCTGGACAAAGGCCTCCAAGGATTTCCATAACGACCGGTCCTGTGTTGCCCGCATCTAGGTACTTCCCGCGACTTTCACCAGATCGTCAGTTCAACAGGGGTATAGTAGGCCAAATCCTCCATTTGCCTCTGGTAAATTAGAGGGTCTTGCTCCTGCAGTGGAGACTAAATGACCTGATGATGATGAATACGGGACGGGACTATATCCGCTGCAACTCCTGTGTAGCCAGGATCTACAGCTTGATCGCCAACAACCCAACCAGTGAAGGTCAAGTTTCTCCCGGGGGAAAGTTAAACTGTTACGATGAAGGATAGTAAAGGTAATGACATACCTAATGGAGAACCAGGTGTGGCGGGCGTGCCTCCTAACGACGACACTCGGTGCGGCGTGTGACCTGCTGTGTGATAGGGGCTTTATTGTAATATGCTTTAAAGATTATTGATATAAAAATAATTATATTTTCAAGATGATTCACATAAGAATAATAATTTAATTTCTACAACAAACATCATTATTTCTTAGTAGGTATAGAACGAATATCACTTGGTAAAACGTTAACACTTTCGCGTGCATATTATTATAAAGCTTTATAATATCCATTTTATATGCGGCACATATAACACCACATTCTGACTTTGGGAGCAAGTAAATATTTATCTGTGCACAGATAAATATTTCAAAAAAAGTTTCTCAACGACCATTTATACAGCAAATATAACACCTTTATACAGCTAATCTTATTTGGCGGGCTGCCTGGTGGTGCAAATATTTTTATTTCATTATTTCCGTGCACAAATAATCAAGCTTCATAACGACGATACAGCGCATAATATGACACCATAATCTGCCGTTAGTGTAGCAAACATATTTTCATCAATAATATCACTGTAGTTTTAAACCATATTTTCGTGCACAAAAAAGCTTCATAACGATCACTTATACGCCACATATTAACACCTTATACTGCCTTTTTATATTTTATCAAGTGCATCATCAAAGCTTTATAAAACCACTTATACAGCACATAATATAACACCTTTATACAGCACATATAACACCTTAATACAGCACATATAACACCTTTATACAGCACATATAACACCTTTATACAGCTCATATAACACCATAATACAGCTAATCTTACTTGGCGGGCTGGCGGGTAGCTGCGGCGACGACCGGCCCTCGGGGCGACGACCGGACGCAGACCTGCTGCGGGCAAACCTGCCCTCAATCGTGGACCATTATAACACTACTTCATCTACAGTTTACAACTTTAATTTGGCACTCATAAGGTTGATTATTGCAGAGCAAACGTGCGCCATAAGGGCTATTTTAGACTTTTATTTTAGGGTCCCAAATCAAAGTTAGTAATATTTATTTCAAATTTGTATTTTCTCAATCATGTATTATTATAACACTACTTCATCTACAGTTTACGACTTTAATTTGGGGCACATAAGGTTGATTATTGCTAAGCAAATGTGTACCTAAGAATCTAAAAAAATTGTATCTAAGAAATGAGTCCCAAATCGAAGTGAGTAACGTTTATTTCGAAATTAAATTGATTAATCAAGTTCATCAAGTTTTAAGTAAATTAACATGGCAATATGTTATTGTTCCAAATAAGCACATCACACTGACCTATAATGCATCGAACAAGCGTAATAATATGAACATTTTATCTCATCATCATCATAATTTAAGCCACTGAAAATCCACTGCTAAACATAGCCCACCCTCCTCAATGATTTCCGTATTTCGCGGTTGGTTGCGGCCTGCAACCAGCGCCTTTCTGCTACCTTTATGAGGTAGGTCGTCATCACACGCTGCGTTTACCGGTACGTGGCCTCCACTCCAGAACCTTGCTGCCCCATCGGCCGTCTATTTCTTTTATTCTATCTCAAAACTCATTAAACTTTTCTATGGACATATTAGTCTTAAATGGTCTTAGATCTTTATATGTCCAGGGTCAGTGTGACGTACTAACGTTAGGAGAACCCATATAGAGCTGATATAGAGCTAAATATTTTCAATGTACAGTACCTGAACTGTGATCTTCTTGGGGTGATCGGGGAACCCTCGCTTATTTGACCGAAGTGCGCTGACTGACCGTTCACCTGTGAAAAACAAAAACACATTTAAAATAGCTATTTACTCTCAGTAATTTTAGCTGTATAAGAGTTTTTTTACACGCCCCAATATTATGGGCGGCCTATATTAATACTATGCCACCAGCTCGATTGATCGACAACCTCAGAAAGTTATCTGGTCCATGGGTGTCCCCAGTTTCTGGCTCAGGGGGGAACAGTCTGGTCTAAGAGGGAGCAGTCTGCGCTAGGGAGAAGCAGTCTGGTTTAAGGGGATCAATCTTTAGGGAGGGAGGGAGCAAATCATTTCTTTTTCAGGCGGGTTCCCGTGATCTCAGACACTTAAGAATAAAAGATAGTGCTATCACTAGTGGTAAGGGATCTCCAATTGATGGTGATCCTTACGTGGACGGTATTTCGCACCATGTATCCAATGGATATCCATCCATCCTCAAGGAGCTTCGTGTTAAAGAGACTATCGTCATGTCGTTCTTTGGTCACGTCTCTAGAAATAAGAACTCGACGAGACTGGTAGTTCAGGGCCAGGTGGAAGGCAAGCGAGCACGCGGTCGATCGCCAACCCGCTGGATAGACGCCATCACAAAGGTCGCTAAGTCCACCATGGTCCAGTGTACTCGCGACGCCTCTAACCGTCAGAAATGGAAGCACATCGCCAGGAGAGCTACCCTCGGAGATGACATTACTCCACCGTGTACCTCGTCAGCGCAGCCATGACCACTCTGACAAGTGTCCGACGAAGAAGAAGAAAACTCACTACCCTCCTCTTATTGTACACTCACCCGGCAATAACAAATTGTTATTGTGTCGAGGCGCGTGCGCGGGCCGGCGCCACTTGCGCTCGAGCAGCAGGAAGTATATCACTTGCTCTGTGCTGGCTGGAGCGGCGGGTGACGTCACGCCGAGTTTGATTACGGGAGAACGCTCGAATTTAGCCTTATGCGTCATAGTGAGACTTTCCAGAGGAGAAACCGAGTCTGTTGCGGGTTCCCCAATTGGATATAGCTCCCAAAATGGACGCGGACGGTATATCACTTGCTCTGTGCTGGCTGGAGCGGTGTGACGTCACACAGCTGGCTACTGTACGGCGCAGAAGCTCAGTGATGCGCTATACAGGAACTTACTCAGTGAAGAGCTATGCCGGATAATACCCCATTGGGCGCTTGTAGTATCTCTAGCAACAAAAGCCCTCTCCCTCTCCTATACTGTAGGAACCTACCAAGTGAAGTCTTTCCTGTAGCTGCTCCCGCAAGCTGAGTAAACTAAGCTGTAGCCCATTTGACGCCCGTCTGGTCTAGGGGGGTAGTAGCAGTCAGGTCTAGAGGGAGCAGTCTGGTCTAATAGTGAGCAGTCTGGTCTAGGGGGGGAGCAGTGTGGTCTAGAGGGAGCAGTCTTTATTTAGGAAGGGTTGCTCCCGCGTCCGTCGTCCGTCCTCCGTCGCGCGTGTTTTGTTTTCGATGCACTCGCGAATGAACAGGCCTACTACTGCTTGTGGAATGTCGTTGTCTCCCTCACCCGGCAGGTGTCGAGGCGCTTGCGCGGCGGGTCGGGCGGCGCGGCGGGCGCGGGCGGGCGCGGCTCGTCGTCGCGCGCGGGCCGGCGCCGCTTGCGCTCGAGCAGCAGGAAGTATATCACTTGCTCTGTGCTGGCTGGAGCGGCGGGTGACGTCACGCCGAGTTTGATTATGGGAGAACGCTCGAATTTACTCTTATGCGTCATAGTGAGACTTTCTAGGGGAGAAACCGAGTCTGTTGCGGGTTCCCCAATCGGACACAGCTCCCAAAATGGACGCGGCCTTACGCTCAATCTTGGAACGCGACGTAGCCTCGATTGCGATCGTCACATCGTCTGCATACGCTATTACGTGTCCCTCAGGACAAGGTAACAGCAGGAAATCGCTAAGGAGGAGGTTTAAAAGTATCGGGCTCAACATTGATCCCTGAGGACACCCCATGGTGCTACGCTTCCACGACGTTTGAGCTCCTACGTAGAGAACCCACACGCTGTAAAGTAACTGACCAATGACCTGTAGATGATAGGCGGAATTCCGGCCTAACCTTCAACAAAATCATCGGCCACCACGCGTTGTCAAAAGCACCGGAGATGTCCAGGAAGATCGGCTGCACGTTTCTTCTACTACTAATCTGGTAAAGGTCACGGGAAGAGCCTGGATTCGGGCAGCGCTGGACCGTCCATTGTGGAAAGCCTTGGGGGAGGCCTTTGTCCAGCGGTGGGCGTCATTTGGCTGAAACGATGTAATATTGGTGTCTCCCTCACCCGGAAGCTGCCTAGCGGAAACTGTCTGGTCTAGAGGGTTGTTTTTACACATTATAGTGTTGTGATGGGATATACAATGTCAAGGGGGGGCAAAGGGACCCCCTCTGGCCCCTCCAAGTCCTGTACTCACCCGGCAGGTGTCGAGGCGCTTGCGCGGCGGGTCGGGCGGCGCGGCGGGCGCGGGCGGGCGCGGCTCGTCGTCGCGCGCGGGCCGGCGCCGCTTGCGCTCGAGCAGCAGGAAGTATATCACTTTCTCTGTGTTGTGGCTGGGAAAAATACAGGGTAAATATAGAAAGGAAGAAAGAAAAACATTTATTTGGTTCCAACTTAAAATATAACAGAATCCGATAACAAAAAACAAGTACAAGTTAGAACCAAAATTGGCCACCGCTCAGCATGTGTCATGCTCTGGAGTGGTAAATAAAACTCAGAACACGACGCTGTTATTCTGCGGTGACCATTTTTGGAGAGAGCTGGAAACAAACATGAGATGAGACAATACACAAAAAACAAACAAAAGAGAAAAACAAAATAAAAAAATACAATATTAAAAAAAAAGTAAATAGGGATGCACTAGGGCAACGTTTCAGCGTTTCTTAACCTTTTTTGTCCAAGGACCCCTTAAGCTTCAACCACACCAACGCGTGCATCGAATCGCCGGCGCGATCAAAGGCCAATGACAGGTCGCGCGACCCATGACAGTTCACGCGACCTGTCATTGGCGTATGATCGCGCCAGCGATGGCGATCTGCACGCGTTGGAGTGGTAGATGCATTAGGAAATCAAGCTCAATTTTAAGGACGTCCTTAATAAAAAAAGCTGCAATTTTTGATTACGTGACCTTTAGTGGCATTTATTTATGATTGTTAAATGATTCTTAGATAAGACAGGTTATGAAACACTGCACTAGGGGACAAATGTTCCGCGGCATGTGTCGACAACATGAAAAGCGAAATCGAGCGATTTAGTTTGACATATCTGTCACATAACAATGACATAATGTCGAGCGAGGTCCGGCAATGTCCGCTAATTTACCCGACATTGCTGGCAACACGTGTTGAGGGATATTTGTCCCCTAGAGTGTGAAAAAAACGTTCTGACACCATTAATCTAAAATACTTAAGTACTTTATTCTATGGGTTTATTTTTAACGACAGAACAGTCGGCTACGGGTTACAAGAAAGAAAAGTCTACATTGTCAGTCGCTCTGGCATAGAATAAGGCAAATAAATAAAATAAAGATTATGTTAACTACTGGTAGTAATACAGTACTAATTATTATTCTGTGGTAATACTTACTGTGGACTCAAAAGTTCCTGTATCAGTTTGTCGCGCTGTTTGAAGCAACCTAAGCTGCAGATGGCCTGAAATGAAAAAATAATATGTTAAATCGATAGATAGAAGTAAAGTTAACTGCGCACCTCGCTGGAATGTCTCTCCCACTTGTCGATGTGATGTCACTGCCCCAGGTGCGCAGTTAACTCGACCGGGTTGTATTGACCAAATCATTTTATTTCTGTATTGCTGTTTTGTGTACCAAAAAAATAAATAAAGTTATGAATGAATGACAAAATCAAAATACTTTTTATTTTATTTTTAGCTTGCCTACTATCGGCCACAGTGTTAACTATCCATTTCCGTTTTTGCTCTCGCTCTCATCAAATGGTGACTCTTTGCGATAGAACGAGACGACATGACCGGCAATGGGCAGTTAACACTGTTGCCGATAGTACATTTACGTTTTTCGATCCTTTTTGTAGTGATCTCTAGTTCTTACGGTCGCCCGCCCGCCGTCACCCACGGGTGCCGGGTGATCTCCGCTACAGTCCGCTCGCCGACCGAGTAGCATTCCGTCCAGTGACCCCGAGCGACTGTGCGACGGGCGGCCGCAGTGAGTGTGCGAGCGCGACAGCAATATAAGAGCGACAAGGATGGGTAGCTTGGGTGGGGTCATAGGGCGAAATTCTACGCGCTCGGCGACCGGCCTTTAGCTGAAGTGGGATTCTCCGGGCTTGATCTAAGTAAGCCTGGGCAAGACGCCCGTATTCACAAACTTTACTATGAGGTCTCACAGTGCGCGGACGCACAGGGTGACACACGAACCAATCTCAGAGCTCTAACACTGTGCGTTCCTATCAGGTAAGATGCAGAAGACGCCCTTATTCACAAACTTTACTATGAGGTCTCACAGTGCGCGTACGCACAGGGTCACACACGAACCAATCACAGAGCTCTATTCAACGCTGTGCGTTCACTCAAGCAAGCAACGTTTGTGAACACATTAAAGAGCTCCCTATTGTGGGTTCAGAAAACTGTAAAAGTAAATTGTCTCAGGCGGGAACAGAACCCTCGCCTGCTTAGCGACCGACCTGCAGCACGTCCGGGTCGACGGCCTCGGCGGACGGCAGCACCCTCGTCTGGACCACCTCCATCATCGGCAGCTCCTGCTCCAGCTCGCCGCGCCCGCCCGCCGTCACCCACGGGTGCCGGGTGATCTCCGCTACAGTCCGCTCGCCGACCGAGTAGCATTCCGTCCAGTGACCCCGAGCGACTGTGCGAGCGGCCGCAGTGAGTGTGCGAGCGAGACAGCAATATTAGAGCGACAAGGATGGGTAGCTTGGGGTCATAGGGCGAAATTCTACGCGCTCGGCGACCGGCCTTTAGCTGAAGTGGGATTCCGTATTCACAAACTTTACTATGAAGTCTCACAGGACGCACAGGGTGACACACGAACCAATCTCAGAGCTCTAACGCTGTGCGTTCGATTTGTTTCTACACTTAAGCAAGTATCGTTTGTGAATACAGGCGACTGTGATACTGTATGTGACTGCGACTGTGTACTGTGATACTGTAGAGCTGTATCCAACGCTGTGCGTTCACTTAAGCAAGCAACGTTTGCGAACACATTAAAGAGCTTCCTTATTGTGGGTTCAGAAAACTGTAAAAGTAAATTGTCTCAGGCGGGAACAGAACCCTCGCCTGCTTAGCGACCGACCTGCAGCACGTCCGGGTCGACGGCCTCGGCGGACGGCAGCACCCTCGTCTGGACCACCTCCATCATCGGCAGCTCCTGCTCCAGCTCGCCGCGCCCGCCCGCCGTCACCCACGGGTGCCGGGTGATCTCCGCTACAGTCCGCTCGCCGACCGAGTAGCATTCCGTCCGGTGACCCCGAGCGACTGTGCGACGGGCGGCCGCAGTGAGTGTGCGAGCGTGACAGCAATATTAGAGCGACATGGATGAGTAGCTTGGGGTCATTGGACGAAATTCTACGTGTTCGGCGACCGGACTTTAGCTGTAGAGTGGGACTCTCGAGTAAGCTAGTGAGTGTGCGAGCGCGACAGCAATTACGCGCGAGCGGTAAGGATGGGTAGCTTGGGATCATTGGACGAATTTCTACGTGCTCGGCGACCGGACTTTAGCTATAGGGTAGGGTAGGTCTCTCCGGGCTTGATCTAAGTAAGCCTGGGCAAGACGCCCGCATTCACAAACTTTACTATGAGGTCTCACAGTGTGCGTGGACGCACAGGGTCACGCACGAACCAATCTCAGAGCTCTAACGCTGTGCGTCCACTTAAGCAAGCATCGTTTGTAAATACGGGCGACTGTGATATTGTATGTGACTGCGACTGTGTTGTGATACTGTAGAGCTGTATCCAACGCTGTGCGTTCACTTAAGCAAGAAACGTTTGTAAACGTTAGACAGCTTCCTTATTGTGGGTTCAGAAAACTGTAAAAGTAAATTGTCTCAGGCGGGAACAGAACCCTCGCCTGCTTAGCGACCGACCTGCAGCACGTCCGGGTCGACGGCCTCGGCGGACGGCAGCACCCTCGTCTGGACCACCTCCATCATCGGCAGCTCCTGCTCCAGCTCGCCGCGCCCGCCCGCCGTCACCCACGGGTGCCGGGTGATCTCCGCTACAGTCCGCTCGCCGACCGAGTAGCATTCCGTCCAGTGACCCCGAGCGACTGTGCGACGGGCGGCCGCAGTGAGTGTGCGAGCGCGACAGCAATATTAGAGCGACAAGGATGGGTAGCTTGGGGTCATAGGGCGAAATTCTACGTGCTCGGCGACCGGGCTTTAGCTGTAGTGGGACTCTCCGGGCTTGATCTAAGCAAGCCTGGCAAGACGCCCGTATTCACAAATATTACTATGAGGTCTCACAATGTGCGGACGCACAGGGTGACACACGAACCAATCTCAGAGCTCTAACGCTGTGCGTTCGATTTGGCGACTGTGATACTGTATGTGACTGCGACTGTGTACTGTGATACTGTAGAGCTGTATTCAACGCTGTGCGTTCACTCAAGCAAGCAACGTTTGTGAACACATTAAAGAGCTTCCTTATTGTGGGTTCAGAAAACTGCAAAAGTAAATTGTCTCAGGCGGGAACAGAACCCTCGCCTGCTTAGCGACCGACCTGCAGCACGTCCGGGTCGACGGCCTCGGCGGACGGCAGCACCCTCGTCTGGACCACCTCCATCATCGGCAGCTCCTGCTCCAGCTCGCCGCGCCCGCCCGCCGTCACCCACGGGTGCCGGGTGATCTCCGCTACAGTCCGCTCGCCGACCGAGTAGCATTCCGTCCAGTGACCCCGAGCGACTGTGCGAGCGGCCGCAGTGAGTGTGCGAGCGAGACAGCAATATTAGAGCGACAAGGATGGGTAGCTTGGGGTCATAGGGCGAAATTCTACGTGCTCGGTGACCGGGCTTTAGCTGTAGTGGGATTCCGTATTCACAAACTTTACTATGAAGTCTCACAGGACGCACAGGGTGACACACGAACCAATCTCAGAGCTCTAACGCTGTGCGTTCGATTTGTTGCTACACTTAAGCAAGTATCGTTTGTGAATACGGGCGACTGTAGTACTGTGATACTGTAGAGCTCTATTCAACGCTGTGCGTTCGATTTGCTGCTTCACTTAAGCAAGCATCGTTTGTGAATACGGGCGACTGTGGTACTATGATACTGTAGAGCTGTGTCAACGCTGTGCGTTCACTTAAGCAAGCAAAGTTTGTGAACACATTAGAGAGCTCCCTATTGTGGATTTAGAACACTGCAAAAGTAAATTGTCTCAGGCGGGAACAGAACCCTCGCCTGCTGCAGCGACCGACCTGCAGCACGTCCGGGTCGACGGCCTCGGCGGACGGCAGCACCCTCGTCTGGACCACCTCCATCATCGGCAGCTCCTGCTCCAGCTCGCCGCGCCCGCCCGCCGTCACCCACGGGTGCCGGGTGATCTCCGCTAGCTGAAGAAACAATTGGTAGTTGTAGTACTATAGAAGACTACAAGTCTAGTACAGAAGTACAGAATTGTAATAGACTAAGAGCTGGTGAACGCCAGACCAAACTTCATGATTCACCAACATTCTATCCTATATTGGGAGCATAAAGCCACGATAGCCGAACGGTGAAGGGGTCGGACTGGCCGACTCGTGATCCGGGGAACGCGGGTTCGGTCCCCGCCGCCGCTCGACTATTGTGGTGAGCTCACTCGTGACACAAGCATATTTAGCTTAGTACGAGGGGCCAACGGGAATATTAGTAATTTGTGTAATAACAAATTACTAATAATCTTTAAAAAAAAAAAAAATATGCTGACAAACTTTCAGCTTTTATAAAATGATGTAGGTCTGGCATTCACCAGCTCTTAGTCTATAAGTCGTAATCTCGAGATCTACTGAACCGATTTTAAAAATTCTTTCACCAATAAAAAGCCACATTATTACTGAGTGTTATGACACTATGGTTATATATAACCTATGGGTTATATAAAAAAAAAACCCTAAAAATCCCATGCGGGCGAAGCCGCAGGCGGAAAGCTAGTTTGCCAATAAATGACAATGAACAAAAGTGGTCCAAATATCCATCAATAATGAGACCTATATTTACTTATAGTCCATTAAATAGAGATTAACTTTCATTACCTTTTTTATCCAAATGTTTTTTATTACTTTATTAAAATATTACATAACATCAGTCGGCCGTTTGGTGTAGTGGTTTCAATACAGACTACTGTGCCGAGAGGTCCCAGGTTCGATTCCCGGCCGGGCAGAAATTGAAATGATGAATTTTAATTTCTGTGATGGGTCCTGGATGTTACTATGGATATTAAGTATGTATTTACAAAAAAAAAATATTTCAGTATGTTTATATCTGTTGTCTAGTACCCATAGTACAAGCTTTGCTTAGTTTGGGACTAGAAGCGTAGTGTAAAATGTCCAAGGATATTTATTATTATTATAAATTAAATAGATACTTTTATTAATTAAAGTTACATTTCAATTTTATTAATTAAATTTTCCAATCAGCTAGAACTTTTTTTTGGTCTGTCACAAAAAGTATCTGCACCTGTTGTTCCCCCTTTCAAAAACTGGAAAAAAACTAGGCATCCTATGATTTTTCTTTATCATGTAAGTCAGTTCAATGGTTTAAGTGTGAAAGAGTAACAATCACTCTATCCTAACAAAATTTCACATTTCACACAACATAATGTTAGTAGACCATCATCATTTCAGCCATAGGACTTCCACTAGGCATTAGGTTTTGATTGGAATCTAGTTACAGGTTGACACCATTTAGAATACATATTTCCAAGACTCAAATTCTTAGTCTTTTACACTAAACTAAATTTTAATATTAAAAAGTGCACAGCAAAGGTTTCCCTTAATAATCTGGAAATAAGAGCTATGACATGTAACGCCTGATATGCTTTAAAGTACAAACCGTCATCCGTTTCTCCGGGTTGACTTCGATCATCCCTCGTAGCAGCTGCTGGCAGTCTGGAGGCACGAAGTGAGGCACGTGAAACACGCCTCGCTTCACCTGTAAGCAACGGGAATTAAATTAACACTTTTAGTTTTTAAACACAGTTTTAGGTTACTTTATGTGAGAATCTGTTCCATATTATCAACAGAAAAGGGTTTTAGAGTAATTTCAGATGATTTACAAGCCAATAAATAGTTAATTTTGTTAAAATACTGTGTTTAAACAAGAACAATTCATTAAAACACTAAGCTTCTCAAAATTTACTGAAGCAAAGTCGATATTGAATAAATAGCTCAAATTTAAGTAAACATTTAAAAACAATGCTTGCAATATGATCCGTTTTTAGTAAAGTTTCTTATAAAAACGTAAAATATATATAAAAATCAAAGTTTACTGAGTTATATGTGAAAATAAGCCAACTAACCTTTTCCAATAATTGACGCAGGTTATCATCATCAAACGGCAGCGCGCCCACAAGCAAGGCATACAGAATGACGCCACAAGACCAGACGTCTGCACGGCGACCATCATATTTTTCACCCTGTAGAAAATTTTACGAATTTAGCATGTTTTTTCTCACAATAAAAATGTTTGTTTACATTACATTTTGTTTGTTCTTTGTTTTGACAGATACACACGCACGTTTCATTTATCACGATTAGTTTTTATCAATTCGTCACTAATGTTAGAGGATGGAAATACTCATGGAAGAATGCATGAAAAAACTATTAACAAAACTATTAAAAAAAATTAACATAAAAATATTTTTCACGCTTTATAAAGTTCATTAGAGATTCCAATAAATTAATTAAGCCAGCACTTCAGTTTCTGTTCCGTAGAATGAAACGTATGGTTTTGTATGTTGCCATTTGTAGATAGCAGCACTGTCGATTAATGATACCAGCGTTGCGTAACTTCCTTAAAATAAGGGTATATTATTTTAAAATTATTTATCTTATTTAACTACCTGATTATTTTCTGTATTAATTTGTTAAAAAAACTTATTTCATGTCGCTACTTAAAGTGCAAAAAAAGGTTTAACTCTTATTAGGGCATAAGATGGAAGAAAGAAAGATACAAAAAAATGTTTATTTATAAGTAATGAATTATGTAAAAAAATGTCGACAGCGGAATTTTTTGTTGGTTTTCAATAATCAGAGGCGGCGTAAGGCGTAGGCGACGTGGGCCACCGCCTACGGCCTCGCGGCACAAGGGGCCTCGCGCATCAAAAATTTTGAAAAAATGTATACAAGGTGGAGATGACAATATCACAATACGAACATTGACTATTAAATATAAATTCTTGATAGCTAAAAAATGTAGTTAAAAATAAAAATATATTTTTTTCCAAACAAATTCAGCCATAATCAGACACAAAATTAAGCAACAACACGGTTTTAAGTGACGAACATTATTCTTTGGCGCAATATTCCTTTAAAAATAATAATCACTGAATCAAGAAATCAGAAACTGTCAATGTATAGACCTTTGACCCTTTTTTTATTATTTCATAAAATCCGTCTTCAGGTCGCCACAGAACAAGGCCTCGCGAAATCTGTCTTGCCCACATCAAATTTAGGTCTTGCCCCGCCTCTGTCAATAATTATACAAGGCTAGCTATGATGGCTATCGGAAACCCCACTAATACCATTGGGTCTAGACAAAGTGCCATTATAATCGCAAACCAGTCGAAAAGTGGTCGAAAAGCCCCTTTTTTGTATGGAATTTGACGGATTCGATTTTCGATTCGATCAAAAAGTGCGTTTTGTCTAGGGGGGCATGTGTAATTATGTTAAAACAATTATTATTAACATTAAAATGGGCTGATTTCAATTATAGGATAAATTAACCTTTAATTGAAGAATTATATTGATTGACTTAGTTCCTTTGTAAAATGATAATAAATGAAAAAAATCATTAAATAACCACAAAGAAACTATTACAAACTGTTTTAAGCCAACCTTCCTGCTACCTGGCGATTCAATTCAACAGCCCTATGATGAATAACATACAAATTAAAATCTCCACTAACCAATATTATCACCACCAGCACCAGCACCACCATAATTAAATTAAAAAAAAAATACAAACTAAGTCGTACGCTTTTTTCATCTATTTATAAGGAAACTTGGTAAGTTGCGTTTTATGAGCGGGCAACATTTTTTCGGAATGTCATGGCCATTATATTACCCAGCCAAATTCAAATGGTCACTGCTGTCAACCGTTAGATGAGACCGCCATTACAAATGCAGTGAGTTAAAGTGAGACAGATATATTTTCATTGTGGTTTGTTTACTTGGCACCCTAGTTGATAATAATTTTCGAACGACCGTTGCTTTGATTCTCGACTCTCATCTGTGTTCTCGACTGACCGTTGAAAACAAGAATCGTGGTATTTTGTGTAAAGTGCGTGTTTTATTGAAATATTCACGATGAAATCGGCTAAATCTAAACAGAGACTGAACGATATGCGTACGCCGGCTCGGAGTAAGCAGAATTTGTGTTTAGGAGAGCGTGATCCGGTGCAAGTTTATTGCCGCCTTCGGCCCATGCAAAGAGACAGTGATGTATCTTGTATGAAGATAATTTCGCCTACAACAGTGCTTCTGACGCCGCCCAGTACTGCTATAAGCTACAGAAATGAGAATAACAAGACGATGGAGTACACTTTCAAGGAGGTTTTCCCTCCAGAGGCGTCGCAGCAAGAGGTATTCGATAAGGTAGCTTTGCCGCTCGTTGAAGGCCTAGTCAAAGGTAAGAACGGCTTATTATTCACCTACGGAGTCACCGGTAGCGGCAAAACGTTCACTATGACCGGGGAGCCCCAAAACTGTGGTATTTTACCCAGATGTCTGAACATAATTTTCAAAACTATAAACGATTTGCAAGCGCACAAATACGTATTCAAACCGGACAAAATGAACATGTTCGATATTCAAAATGAGGCGGAAGCCATGTTGGAACGGCAACAGGAACTGCACAAATTCAAAAGCGGCAAGAAAAACAATTCGAACCCCGACTTGGCTATGTCTTCGACTGACATTACTAAAGTAGGAGGCATCAATGAAGATAACCAATACGCTGTATTTGTTACTTATGTTGAAATTTACAACAACAGTGTGTTCGATTTGCTCGAAGACGGGCCCATCAGTAAAAACTTGCCAGTGAAAATCATAAGAGAAGACGCAGCACACAATATGTATGTTCATGGTGTCACTGAGATTGAAATCAAGTCTGCTGAAGAAGCATTTGAAGCATTCTACTTAGGTTTAAAAAGAAAACGTATGGCTCACACTACGTTGAATGCAGAATCAAGTCGTAGTCATTCTGTTTTTACGATACGACTAGTGCAGGCACCAGTCGACGAAATGGGCGAAGCTGTGATCCAAAACAAGAAATTCCTGTCCATTAGTCAGCTGAGTTTGGTCGATCTAGCAGGAAGTGAACGGACCAACCGAACTAAAAATACTGGTCAACGTCTACGAGAGGCTGGTAATATAAACAAGTCACTAATGACACTGAGAACCTGTTTGGAAGCACTAAGAGAAAACCAAGCTAATGGAGCAAACAACATGGTTCCGTATCGTGAATCAAAGATTACACATTTGTTCAAAAACTTCTTTGAAGGTGAAGGTCAAGTTCGTATGGTCGTCTGTGCAAATCCGAGAGCAGAAGACTACGATGAGACGCTACAAGTGATGCGGTTTGCTGAAATGGCAGCAGAAGTGGAAGTTGCTAAGCCACAAAACATCAATAACGTTGCTGCATCTATTGGCCTTATGTCAGGTAGACGTAAGGCCAACCGCCTGTTTAATACAGCCAGAGAGAACATCATTCGTCCTGAAGCTAAAGATCTGGAGCTAGATTTAGGTCTGGTTTACAGTCTAGGGCCTGACTTCCCAAGCTTGGAGCTGAATAGTTCTCAAGCAGCTCATATTATAAAGGAACTGATGGCTCATTTGGAGATGAGGATTACACGCAGAGAAGCCTTGAAGAGGAGTAAGGCTATCAAAGATGAGAGGCTCCGTTCAGCATTGCTAGATCTGGAGAAAGATTCCATGGAAGTCCGCAGCGAAAACGCTTCGCTACGTGGTCAGCTGGCGGCTTCGGAGCGCAGAGTGCGAGCGTTGGAAGAAAGGCTAACAGCAACAGAAAACGCCTCATTGTCACATCAGAGAAAACTAGCTGAGTTAACCGAATATACGTCATCATTAAAACGCGATTTGCAAGAAAAAGAACTGTTACTGAGTCAGAAGCAGTTGGAGAAGGAAAAGCAAAAAAAGATTCTAGAACGAAAGTACAACAACAAAATAGCGGCAGAGCACGAGAAAGCTAAAGAAATTAATTCTGAGAAGGAGAGATTGAGGAACGCGATTGAAGAGAAAGAGAATCGGTTGAGGATTATAGCTGAAGCACTTCACTCGGAGAGGGGAGATGAGATGCCTAAAAGTACTGGTGATTTTGCAGCGCAGACTGGAAGAGATTTCACACCTGGATCGACACCTAGGGCCTTGCCAGCGCATTTGCTGACACCCTTCAGCTCTGTCCCGCAAACTAGAGAAACTAGGGACACCCCTGCATCGTCTAGACGTGGAATAGCGGTCGCAAACCCGAGACATAGGCGTTCGCTATCCGCAGACGGGCGAGGCTGGATAGAACATGCCCCCAACAAACTCGTTCCAATGGGAACTGTGATGAAACCCAGCATTTCAAATAGCAAAGTAGTCAACAAGTTAAAAACGGTGAAAGACATAGCAAATTCTAAAGCCTCTAAATACTGCTTGATATCTCAAGAACAAGACACCGATGGGGAGCTAGAAACGAAGCTGTACAAAGGAGACGTGGTGCCCACTTGTGGTGGAGGTGCTCAAGTAATTTTCAATGACGTAGAAATGCTAAAGCAGTTCTCTCCAAATCGGGAATCCCAGACCAGGGTCTCAGCGACGTCCTGCGCCCGGCATTCAGGCAAGAGAAGAGATACAGGCTGTTCACCGCCCCAAACGCCGTCAAATACCAGTAAAAAACAGAGGATTGATGATGATTAGTTAGATTAAATCATGTTTTTGACTTGATGACTTTGACCTGGTGTTATTACAAGAATATAAGAATTTCTCATTAATGATTTTGTAACAATTTGTTGATAGTTTCTACAATCCCAACTAATATTATAAATGCGAAAGTAACTCTGTCTGTCTGTCTGTCTGTCTGTCTGTCTGTCTGTTACGCTTTCCCGCTTAAACCTCGCAACCGATTTTGATGAAATTTGGCATAGAGATAGTTTGAGTCCCGGGAAAGAACATAGGATAGTTTTTATCCCGGTTTTTGAAACAGGGACGCGCGCGATAAGGTTATTCTGTGACAGACAAAATTCCACGCGGGCGAAGCCGCGGGCGGAAAGCTAGTAGAGAATATAATCCCAGTACTTGTGTTAATTAGTATTGAATTTAAATTCTAAAACTTCCAAAATCATTATTAAATTCTTGTAATTTCACCTTAAAATTTGTTATTTGTATGAAATCTGGGTAAAGTTCTCTGTACAATTCTCTTTATTTCTTTTATAATCATTAATTTCTTTGTTACATAATTACCATGTTGTACTTTTGCTGTAGACGTAACGAATTAGATATTTTTACCATCCATTTTCTTTTTCTTCTTGAATTTGGCTTATGTAACAGTGTCTTAATATTCTGCCTATTGATTTGCTCAAGTTAACTATTTTATGATCAAAACTAAGTAACTTTGGAAACACTGTGTGAAAAATTACTTCAATTTGCTTTTAATATGTTACTATGTCCAGTCAAATCATAAATGAAAATGCAGCTTTTTTGTTTTCCTTATTATTTAGGTTTAAATATTTTTGAACGTTTCGAATTTTCATAAAATTGTATTTTGCTAAATTTTTGTTTGATTACTAGTGTAATGTAGGATACTTCTTCCTTCACCTTAGATTATCAGATTTATTAATTGTAGGATTTTTATGGACTGTGATTGATGTTTTGTAAACTTTTTAAGTATAACTTTAGAGATAGTTTGGTTTATCGTTTATTTATACTAATAGATATGTAACAAGCCTTACAAAGTGACTACAGTCACAATATATTTCTGTTAAAAATAATGTTTAAGTTCTTTGCATTTTCTAAAGAAAGCTAAGCATTTTATGTAATAGGACATTGTTTATTGTAGACCTTTGTAACAATTGTATTAGATTTTTGACTATTTTCACGAATTTGGCTTTCTTTTATCAAGCAATTAAAATCATTTTTATGGCAATAGGTCTTTCTTAATAGGGTGTCTTCTAGTTGTAATAAGTCTGTATAACACTGCTTTATTTATACATCTGACGTTTAGTTACTAATAAAAGTACTTAATTAGTTTGTTAACTATGCTTTTTGGAGATTTGTTAAGTAAGTTGTAGATTTTGTAACAATATTGTGTCATTAAATACCTCTACTTGTAAAATGTAATACTGTGGGAGTGTATTAAATACCTTTTTCGAGGTAAAAACGCCTTTTATTTTTAAACAGTCGTAATATTTTATTCTGATTATGGGTATTTTTAACCCTTTATTAGGCTCATGTTGAATATTTTCACAAATTTTTGACCTTATAATAAGCAATTAAGGATCAAATTATGATGTCAAAGAAATTACACTTCTGAAGACCGCATCAAAGTCGGTTCAGCCAAACGTGAGATAACCGTGGACAAACAGTAGGACCAAATCTTTTTTTTTCAAGTCTTAAAAAAACAAACGAATGGTGCTTTGTTTGTATTGATATTTTTTCACGGTACAGTCAGCGACGAAATGTTCGTGACATAGTACTTATTATTATTCTGTGGTGACACCCAAAGTGTGGTCAAAAAGTTAACACAACCTTTTTTTTATTTTTTTTTTTACACAAGGCATGACCTTAATCCTATTTGATGCTGACTGTACAAGTGTACATACCAATTTTTTTCGTTCTTTTAACACTTACCCTAATAACTTCTGGACAGGCGTAGTGGGGGCTCCCACAAGAAGTCTCCAGCAAGGATCCGGCTGGTTGCAGCGAGGCCATCCCGAAGTCTGCAATCTTGATGTTGTTCCGTTCGTCTAGCAGAAGATTCTCGGGCTTTAGGTCCCGGTGGCTGTAAGGGAAATGTTTGTGAGATTCTAGCTCATAGCTTTACCGTTCATCAAGGGGGAGGAGAGTTGGCGAGCGAAGTTTTTTATAAGGTTTCGCACGCAAGACGCTGCTGTCCATCTTTTCAAATGAATATAGAAATCAGCTAGTTTTCGTCCACAGATGAAAAGTTCTTTCAGTGAATAGTCCGTAGTGGAAAGCGCCTGTCGTCGACTCGAAACACACAAAAGCGAACCATTCTGTCGGCGAAACGTCCATAGGAAACGTTTTGTCGATGAATCTCTCAAAAATGAAACGTCGTATCGGTGATCAGTCCATTGGAGAAACGACTGTCGGTGAACGCTTGCAGAATCGTCCGTAAGTCGCCTTTTGACATGACAGGTGGACACCAAGATTGGAGGTTGCTAATGCTACTCTTTGTTTCTTTAATAAACTAAGATTAAGAAACCTAGATCTCACCATATAGAATGACTATGACAGAAGTCCAGCGCCGATATGATTTGTCTGAAGAATCTCCGAGCTTCCTTCGGGGTCAGTCGGCCCTTCTTCACCAGGTAGTCGAAGAGTTCTCCTCCGCTCACGTGTTCCAGAACCAGATATCTGGAAAGAAAGTAGATTGGATAAGATTCCTTTCCTTTACATTAATTCGAAATACTTAGGAATATAAAGGGTGGATCAGTAGCGGCGTAAGGGGGGGGCGGTGGGGGCGGTCCGCCCCGGGTGCCAAGCATCAGGGGGTGACAAGTCGCGCACATTAGTACTCACTGGCGCATCTGCATGGCAAGGACGATCGTGATGTCATGACAGGGGGGTGCCATTCTGGGGTGCCTTAGGCTATAATTTATATTATGACGGGGGGGGGGGGGGGCCGCCCCGGGTGCCAACCTATGCTACGCTGCCACTGGGGTGGATGTTAGGTAAAGGTACCTAACTTCAGTAAGGAATATTCAAATGATCAACAGACCATTAGTAATTTCCAATTCTTGATTGCCAATTAGATAGTACTTCGATCCCTAGGTCGTCCGTTGGACTATTGTTTGAACCCTCTAACACCTGTACTTATTTAGCTTAGCTGAAGGAGTTAGATGATAAAGTTCTCGAGTGACTACTTCGGACTGGAAGACGTACTTAGTGTAGGTCTGCCTATCGGTATTCAACGATTTGGTGTAGGTCGTGGGAGCGCCTAGATGCGGGCAGCGTAGGACCGATCATTGTAGAAATCCTTGGGGGAGGTTTTTGTCCAGCTGTGTATCTTCTTTTGGTTGAAACGAACTCTTCTTTTTAAAGGTTCAGGATCGGCCGAGGTTCTTTGGGTGTGGTGTTAATTAAAATAATGTGTACTTACAGATATTTCTTGTTCTCATACACGTCCGACAGTCCCAGCACGTGCGGGTGTTCTATCAACTTCATGATTGCTATTTCTCGTTCCACCTGGAAAATGTACGAAATTTTCATTTCAGAGACTTCAGAGAACAGGACCGGTCGTTGTGAATTTTTTTTTGTCCAACAGTGGTCTATCGGTGTTACCGTGTTAGGAGGATATTATGATTTATCATCAGTTTATTTAGTCTCTACTGCAGAAATACGACTATCCAAATTACCAGAGCCAAATAGACCACTATGGTTTAGGTACACTCCGCACGCTGGCCAGACGGGTTGGGGAGGCCTGATGGTCGCATGTTAGTTCCCTTAGTCGCTTACTACGACATCCTCGAGAAGAGTGAGGGTGTCTTAATCTACTCTGGCCGTACAGTTATGTTTAGAATAGGCAAGTAAGTACTAAACCGGTCAATCTAAAAATCATTGGGAGAGGCCTATGTCACCATTGGACCTGTGGCTGAAATGATGATGATAAAGAAGTAAAAATCTCACCTTCATTAGCACGGACTCGCTGAGTTTCTCCCTGTTGATGATTTTGATTGCGACCTTCTTGCCAGTGACGCAATGGACGCCCAACTTCACTAGACCTGAAAATAAAATCAAAAAATGTTAAAGTAACCGTGATCATCAACAATCAACATACACGTTATTTAGGATCTACAAGGTAACGTAGCGCGTAGGGACTATGCCTTCATATCCAACATCGTTAAAAAGTCCCACAAAAGTCAATTTACAAATGTTTTATGTCCTAAATTCTAAAAAACTCAATCGTGTTTCGCAACAATAATTCATATGGCTTAGGCTGGCCGTAGACGACATTCAAGTGACAAAGTAGGCAGATAGGTCGTTCGTTTCAGCCAAATGACGTCCACAGCTGGACAAAGGCCTCCTCCAAGGATTTCCATAAGGACCGGTCCTGCTCTGCCCGCATCCAGGTTCATCCCGCGACCTTCACCAGATCGTCAGTCCACCTAGTGGGAAGCCCGCCCACGCTACGTCTTTTCGGCCCGTGGTCGCCACTCGAGAATTTTCTGCCCCAACGGCCATGATCTCAACGAGCTATGTGCTATGTTCTCTTTCTTTTTTGGGGGGAAGGAAGTATACCACCACTTTGTGTAAGTAGAAGTTAGAAAGAAACCCTATTGTGACTTCAATATTATCATAGGGTACCACCTATATTTAGCAGAGGCTTGAAACGATTGCTTGCCTCAAATATTTAATAGTACATAAATGTCGTCTGTCACAAGCCTACGCGAAGTTAAAACATTTCGCCTGAAACCCCGGAGTTCAATTTCATCGTTTCCTTTTATCCAGTGGAATTGTATTGAGTTGTAACACTCCCCGCTACTACAGACTTTTTATTCGGGGTGTTATTCAGTATGAACATGTATAAAAGTGTGCACATTACACCGATTTGGTATTCCATAATGTAAAAATTAGTACCCAACTATCGGCTGATAAAAAGTCTAGTCTCAAACATCTCCATACCAGAATTGTTTTAAATCTAAGAGTGCAAATTTTTTAAGGTTTCAGGAACTCAAAGAATTCTAGATTAAATGAAAGTAGACCACGTAAAGCACTAGCAGGTGGCCACTGAGGTATTTTTTAGTCATTTTTAACATTTTATGATTTGATCAGGTCCAAGGTGGAAACTGGAAGCGAGCTTCACTTGGATCCCTTAACTTTCTACAGATAAACTACACCTTGATTCATTAAGTACAGAGTACTTACTTGACTTTTTTGGGTTTTTATTGGGGGTCAAGCTGTAGATCCTGGCTATACAGGAGTTGCAGCGGTGGGAACAAGAGGTAGGAATAGTCATAACTATCTCAAATCCTGATTTGGTGCCGTTTTAACGTGTGTGAGATTGTAATAACATAATATTAATAATGGGTGGGTTATAACAGCTCTATAGAAATAAACTCAGAATGTACCGAAGATGGTACAGATAGTGTCAAACAGCAGTAGTTCGAAACAACTGTAGTCGTTTAAACATTGCCCTGAAGTTACAGGAAATAAGGCACTATGATCACTATTATTCACATGTGAGTAGAGAGTTATTTTTATATTAATTAGAGATACATGTTATTAAAGAGGGTGTTCCAAAACCAGCACGTTACGGGACTACTCCCAATTTCCCACCTCTTGTTCCCACCGCTGCAACTCCTGTGTAGCCAGGATCTACAGCTTGATCGCCAATAACCCATTGCAACTAGTGAAGGTCAAGTTTGGATCCGCAAAGAGATAATCACAAGAACATAGGAGGAGTTCGAAGTGACGGTGTTTCCACCAAAATTAGCACGTTACACCGAAGACACTGGAGTGCCTAGCTGGGTCAAAACAATACCTACTTATAACCCCTTTTTTCCTTAAATTGACGTGATAGACTTGTGCGATGCGTCTTAGGCCCATCTACTTTAATTAATTACCTGCAGTGTCAGTATGACGTGATAATTTTGGAACATCCTGTATAATATCAGCCTCGACTAGCGTAGAATTAGTATTTCTGCCACCGGACCGGAAAATGTAATAAGGTCCTTAGGGATCGGATTGATGGGAATTATAGGGAACTGGGAAGTTTTTTTTTGTTGCCTGCCTTCATTACGTCTTCTGGTCTGTGGTCGCCACTATAAAGCTGAGTTGCACCATCTTAACAAACGTCAATAATCTGTCAAACTCCTTACAAAAAAACACCGGTTACCGTTAAAGTTAGGTGGTGCAACTCAGCCTAAAACTTTTCTAACCTATTGGCCCAATCAGTAAATCGTGTTAGATCTAAGTACGGTAATTCAAGAAGTTATGGCTAGCGAATCTAGCGATATTTAGTAGGTACTAAAAGTTAGCATTATTCGGGGTTCCAATTATTGGAATTTAGAATCACAGTGCCTTTCGAACCTTAACTTCGAACTCTGTTCTTCTGATTAATTGCGTTGCGGGTCCAATGACAGTTTAACTTTCCCCCGGGACTAACTTGACCTTCACTGGTTGGGTTTTTGGCGGTCAAGCTGTAGATCCTAGCTACACAGGAGTTGCAGCGAGAACGAGACTCGTATCATTATCATCTCAGCCATATGACGTCCACTGCTGAACATAGGCCTCCCCCAATGCTTTCCATGATGCCCGGTTGATAGCGGCCTACGTCCAGCGCCTTTCTGCTACTTTTACGATGTCGTCGGTCCACCGGTTGGTGAGACTCGTAGTTAGCCTTAATATATGTTTATCTTCAGCGTTTTTCTCATCATGCTGATGGATTTTTCCACTTCTGCTGTCACCATGGAGTCGGCAGCTTTAAGCGCTGTGCCTCCAAGCGTGTCTATAGCTCCGATCAGAGACAAGCAGACCATGCGATCTATCAACATAAGTGAGTACCTATTTTTGAAGTTTCATCCGCCACTTCTCAGCACCAGCCTATAATTATGTTGTCCCGAAGTGGTGGTAGGGCAAGCTATATTTGGGACGTGTAAACGCTCTGGAAAGGACCTATCAGACTTAATAAAAGATTTGATTTGATTTAACCAAACTGTGGTCTAGTGGTAAGAACGCTTAAGTAATTGTCTCAAATCCAGAGGTCCCGGGTTCGATTCCAGTTTGATGTAAACTCACACTAGGCCCTCTGATGATGAATATTATTTATTGTTGCAGATCCATTCCTAACAAATTCGTTGCTGCAAGCGTTGGCTGACGAATCCGAACATAAGAGACGGTTTCAAAGATACAGGGAGGTTTCTGTTTAAGGCGATTAGAGTCCTCAATGACCTTGAGCGTTTAACCTTCAGGCTTCGCACAACACCCGCGCACCCCGCACGAAAACTCCGATTTGACACCGATCAAAAATACACGGGCATAGGTAGGTACAGAATAGAAGCTCTTTCTTCATACATTACTGCCTATTATTTTAAACTTGAATTGATGAACCTTGATGTCGATGTCATTCAACCCAGGCGCAAGTGATCGCCCGAAATGTTCTAAACTAGCGCACCGTATAGTAAGGTATTTATATTTAACAAAAATTACAAATCCATGAACATTTTGTATGGGATAATATTTTTTATTTTATTTTATTTAGCTTACAATGTATGTTGTGTGTAAACTATGTTTGTTCGGGTGGAATTTTGCAAGCTGAATTAGTTAGACCCATTTCCTGACGACAACCGATTGAGTTAAAATTTCGGATACACATGCAATTCGGATGACAATGCAATATTATGATGACATGGAGCTGATCTGATGATAGAGCTGGAAAGTCAGTGACCCCATAGGAACTCCGGAATAAAACGACTCCATCGAGTTGAGGCTCGTTTGATTTGTATTTATTTATTTACATTAAGGTTTACATAGTTACGGTAAACTAGTTATGTCCTCCAACATGCCATCACGCATTATCCAAGTACCTAAATAAGCATTAAGATAACGAAATAAGCATATTAAGCATATCATATTACAATAACAGTCTAAACTGCTGATGCTGAGTCGGGATAATTGAAATCAACATCCTGCAGTTCCCGGTAGACGCCTCACGCCACCGGACCGATAATCAGCCCTATATAAGAAGCCCGTGATGATGGTATTCATACATTAGATTTTAGGCTTCCCACTTCGAAGCACCTTAGGCTAGTACCGTTCAATCGCTGAACACTTAGTTGTAATTTATGTACTTTATAATTTCATTAAAATCATTGAAAGTTTAAAGTTTTAGTTTTTTTATAAAGTCTGCTCGCCGCACAAACTTGACTAACTACTTTACAAATCACGAGCACCTATTTCAATTCTATATNAGTCTGCTCGCCGCACAAACTTGACTGGCGCAGCCGGTAGGATCTCGCGTCGCGATAATCAAAGTATAACGATTATATCGGTCTTGAGCAATCGCGGTTAGGCTATCAAGTCTACAACGGCGGGATCCACGAACCAAACAAATAAGTCAAGCGGCACCAGCACCAGCAGCAGCACCAGCAGCAGCAGCAGCACCAGCAGCAGCAGCGTCACACCGAGAAGATATGGGGGTGAGCGGCAAGTGAGTAAACCTTTTCGCTACCGTTTTTGTACCATTCTTCCCAAATTTTTGTAACGTTCTTTATCCCAAATCATAATAAACGTTACTGCTCGTAGTTCCTTCCACTTTAAGGATTACGCCAGCGCTTAGTAATAGGAAAGAAATATTTTGAAATTGTTTATTTTATCAGAAAATTGTTAATTAATTAAAATGGAACATATAAATGTTATACCTAGTGAAATGTTAAATTTAATACCGAAGTTTGAAGGCGACGGTAAAACATTGAATTTATTCCTGAGGGAATGCCAATATGTTATAAATATATATAGAGGCCCTGATGAAAATGTAACACAATACAGTTATGTATTTCATGCGATAACTAGTAGATTAGTAGGACGCGCAGCGGCATTGTTAAGCGAGCGCGAAGATATTAATACATGGATAGCATTAAAACAAGTGTTAACCCAGCATTTTGGAGACCCTAGATCGGAAGCTTGCATAGCGATCGAACTAGAACAAATTAAAATCAAACATGGAGAGTCGTATAGCGAGTTATGTCATCGTATTCAGAATGTTAAGAGCACACTGATGTCC